TCCTAGCAAACGGAACATGGGGTTTCACCGTTTCCTGGCACAGTAAGATGGTGGCCCAATGTAGAGACACAAACTTAAACGATGAACACATTTTTACTTACAACCTTCAAACTAACTGTAACAACTATCTAAATATAATTTACAAGGACAGCGAGTCCATAAACCAAGGCTTGTTGCAGTGCAAAGCTACTCTCACATTTCTCACTTCTCCCCTCAATTATGTACCAACCTCGTTGCTGACTGAAAGAAACATGACACCTTTAAATGCCGTTCACTGAACAGTCTACTTTCTTAAACTGATACACAACAATGAGAACCATTTCTCATACCAGATAATGCATCTCACAGATACGAGTTATGTTTTACTGCTACTAAAAGGCAATAAATCTACAGTACCTTCACATATAGAAAACACAGCCCTTTGCCCTCGATTTATTTCAAGACTCTTCTGTGATCAGAGTTACCTTCTCTCTTGCAGTCTCCCAAGAGTAGGCCAAACTGCGGGTACTTTGGGTCAGTAGTAAGATGACACTCCCTCACAGTGCCTTGATATTTTTCACTCAGGAGGGTTGGTGAGAGTTTAAGAGAGCAAACAGCCTCATTCGACTTCTTATATAATAACATCAATCTGCTACTAAGCCAGACAAAGCCCAGATCTGCCATAGCAAGAGACCTAGTACTGGTGGATAATTGAAGAAGATACCATAAGCCATCTCTAAGTTGACCTCGGATGTTCCTGCTGCATACTGTAGCTCCACAGACATTACAAAGCCTTAACAAGCAAACTGTGTGTATTCCAACCTCTAATTCTAGATAAATATCACTTGTTATATGACTATAAAGTGGCTAGTTCACAATCCATATTGATATAGCCATTATCAACATTCAATGATATTAGAGTACTCAGGAAGACTCTAAGATCATTGTAGTAGCCAATGTAGTGACTTACCAATTAGTGAGCCTCCACAAAAGGGCAACCCATTTCTTGATAGCATAGCAATCCATGGAGAAACACCTCTGGTTGCATAGTTTCCATTTGAGATTCTTTGTAGTTTGGTCCTGCTGAATTGGGGTGTCCCACACACTGCAATGAGAGAAATCAACTTCAGGTATCTGCAGGCAAAACAAATAACAATATTCAATTGCTCGGCGCTGGTGTGCATTGAGCGTGCTCAGCTAATAAATGTTATTGCCATCACAGCATGCCATGCACAGAGGGACAACATGACACAATATGCATTTCTCTAGCACTGATGCCAATACAAACATCACAGACTTTAACCGTTTCTTCTTCTAAGCACTCATTTTGATAATGAGCCTTTTGGTCCTTTAATGGATGAATCTGAGGTTTACTTATATTGAAACAGCTTATACTCATAGGCACAAATGTCTTATGTTTATGATAATATCAGGCAGAATAGAAAATTATATACTCAGAGAAACTGACATGGTTACTATATTACAGTTCATTTTTGTATAATTTGTAGAGCTCAGAATTGCATCTTGTTAAGGTAAAGTACTAAAAGGCAGCTTTGTTGGGCCATGCAAGTATAGGAATAACACAGGAAAATTAAAGGATGAAATTCCAAAGAAAGGCTTGGAAATCAGAGATGTGCAGTGGCTTCAAACAAACATGCAGGACACTGAAAGTCAAAATTTGATTCAGTGTGGGAGACCTCATGGCCTAATTAAAACTGAGTGAGGTTTAACAATAAGGAAGAGCCAGGATTTCTTTACTTTGGTAACAGGCTATTTGGTATGCAGGGAACACAGTACAGCTCGGCAATCCTCAGTAATGTAGCTCAGCAATCCTAAGTAAACAGGACAGAGCTTATTTTGTTAAAGTTAGAGGAGACATTTTGAAAAAGACGGGCAATCCACCAGAAAGGAAACTGTCTGTAATGTTGATTAATAAATGATAACAAAAAAGGGCACACCCACATGACTGCAATTCAAATAAGGTTTTTTAATTATCAATTGCTTAACACATCTTATGGCACATAGTTCCAAACCCTTTTACATGCAACTTTCAGATTCAAAATACAAGATAGAAAACAAAGTGCCCTATTTAGAAAGGTACAAGTTAATTTCACAACAAATTTGAAAATCTCTTGGATTACAAAATGTTGAAAGGATTTTTCACCTCAGCCCACAGATATTCAGTAGGGCTTAAGCTGGGCAACCAGAGCATGATGGTCGCATTTTCTTCTTGCAAGAAAGCCATTGCTACATGGGCAGCAGGAGGATGTGGGTGCTGTCCTGCTGGAATGGTGTTGCGTCAGGATGATCCTGCAGGAAGGACAGCAAACAAGGTCCCAGCTCTTGATGAGTGTAGCACAGTGCAGCCAGGCTGCCATCAATCACTACAAATGGAGTTCTGTAGTGACGAGACACTCCTGCCAATACCATCATGCATGGACCTCCCCGTTTACATTCGGGATAATGTGACTACTGAGCTCCAAGATGCTGGCTTGTTATTGGTGTACTGTGTTTGGCTGAATGTCTTGAAACCGCCGTCCATGAACATCCCAGACAAGTTACAGTGCACGGAATCAGTCCAGCTTCCAACACCATCACACTTGGTCTTCCCCATCAAGTGTTTGTCGTACATGAATATGTCTGTCCTACCTTCACCTTCATTCATCACCATCACACCAAAGGTTTATTGTAGAGAGGTGCGACCCTCACTGACAGCACCACAAGCCAGCAAGAGCCTGGGAGGCCACAGTCACAGTGGCTCACAGAGCCCTGGTCCACTAATCCCATTTTACCCTCCGTAGCACTCTTTTGTCATAGCTGGATAGTGACTTTCTTGAGGCTTGAACATGCAATCATAGAGCTTTCAGATGAGCATCTTTTCCAGTTGTGCTACTCAGGAGACCCACACAAGAGTCATTTTGAAGACATTGAGTTTTAGTCAACCATTCTCTCTAGAATTCTGAACAGCGATTGCAGCGGTCTGTGTCAAGTGCGTCCATGACCAAAAAGGCATTGAATTCTTGTATTTTTCAGAAGTCTCTGTGCATAATCTTGAGCCGCTATAATATGACCTGTTATAGGGCTGAAGTGTTTCTCCATCAGATATTACAGGTGTATAACCGTTTCTCGTGTTGAGACACTGGCATTGTGGTGTAGATCCAGGACCATTAAACCAATCCAGCTCAGTGAAGTTTTAAATTGCATAGTGGTATGGATCATACAGAGTTGATGGTATTGCCAAGAATGTACTGGTCCATGACTGTAATGTAGTAAACATTTCTTGGTGAAAGATTTTCATGTCTGTTGGCACGTCTTCTGCAGCTGCTTCTTGCATATTATTCTCTACTGTCCACTGTCTTCAGATCTAAAAAACTTGTGCATATCGATGGAAATCCAATTTGAAATGCAAAGTTAGTAATTTTATAAATTAAGATTATATTACATACCAAAATAATGCCTAAACTGATGAAACCTAGTATCTGGACTTGAGTACACAGACAGTTATGGAACTGAATATTATGAAATATACAAATGTTATCATATTTAATATAAAAATTAAATGTTTAAATGTGGTTTCTTCTCTTTGAGTGAGCTTTAAGAATGAAGATCTTATTGATGGCTTTGTTTATCTTCAGCAGGTATAGCAAGCTTTTACATAACTCATACTGTAATTTAATAATAGTCATAGTTATTTCATTTAGAAATTTAGTTGAAGACTAGAGATCAGAGAATTTGTTTTGATAGTGCAATACAATATAATTATGCATAGTCCCAATAATCTTTTGTACCCAATAAATTCAAAATGAGTAAAATGATGCACTCAACTTGGCCATAGCAGAATGGGCATTTCGGTGTCCAAATAAGAAAACGTTTCTTTTGGCAGCAATAATAATAATAAACAGAGAGAAATATCATCAAAGATTGCCATCTGATCTGCGGCCTACGTGGCAAAACCACAACACAAAACGGGAAGAACTACAAATATGATGAGAAAATCATGATGTGACTCACACAAAGGGGTTCAATATTGGGCCAGATTCTAAGACATTAAACATACTTTCTTCATATAAAATAAACCCATATAAAATAGCATTAAAAAAACAGCTATTTGGGTACTTCAGACAATGGTTTTTCATGTCATTACGGAAAACAAATTAGTAATACAGTATTTGTTAAGTCCAGACATTATCATAATTATCTGTATCTTCCCTCCAACACAGATAAAAAGTCTTCTTTTTAACTTTGTTTCACATGGAAAGTCATATGAGAAGTAACTAGCATTAATAATCATGATCTGGAACCATTTTCATACAGCAAGGCAACACTTTGAGTGCCATATCATATCTCAACGTATTCTATATTTTTACAGCAGAAATCTAGCCAGACTTTGAATCCATGACCGTCACTTCTGGAGCCCAAACTACTACTCAATTCTGCTGCTTTCTTAAACTGTTCAACAGGCAAGAGTCAAACAAATATTCAGGACTGTATGAAACCAACCAGTTAGCAACCTTAATTGCTCTACTTATGAACTTTGGCAACAGTGCAGTATATAAAGTAACAGCTATTTGATAGACTCTTGCCAATCCATAACACTGATCATTACTACATTTCCCCTGATCAGACAATGGGAATGGCTGATCTGTGTTACTGATCTATTAAAAAGGGCACCACTACATTATACAGAAGACAATATTTGGAACACATGGCTAACTCCAAAAATAACATGACCAACAGAATTTAGAACATATTATAGCAAATGTATTATTTTTCATGAAAACTGGTCTATGATGCCATACACCACTATGCATTGTAATTAAGTAGAAAAGTTAACCGCAACAATAACCTAACAGTTTAAGCCTTAAATTCTTTACACTTAAAAGCAAATTTAAAAAATACTTGCTATGTATAATACATAAATACTTATGTAAAAATATTGAAAAGCTTCTAGATCTTAAGCCGTTTAATTAAAACTAAAAAAGATATACTGTAGATAGCACATCCACATAGACAAAATACAATTGAGATAAATTGTTAATTTTATTAAGTTATGAAATAGTTAACTTGCAACTACAAGTCACAACTACTTCTGTCAGGGAAGTGCACTATAATTCCATTTATAGTAGAAAACATCAAATACAAAAAGATAAATACAAGCCTTAAGCTTTCTACTATTTTCTATTCTATGAAAAAATATAATAATTATAATTAATAATTGCTTACACTTATGTAACTGGAGATATTACAGAAGTATAACATTAAGTCATTTCTAAACACTTTTTTCCAACAAAAAATTGAAAAAGCAAAGTTAAACACATATAGTGTGTTAACACAATACTGATCCTGATATAAAATACCAAATTTGAAGATGTGCATTTCTAGGCACACAAAACCAAGACAACTGACTTGTAGCTTGGAAGCAAATGTAATAATCTAATAAACTCCTGAACTGCCAATCAAAACACACACAAAAATCCTGAGCAGAATTTCTGTTTCCTCCTGATATTCGTCTATTACAGAATCTGTGCTTTATCATTTATGGAACATTGCGACAAGAAAAAAAAATACTAGATGGTGGAACTAGACAGAAAAACGAGTAACATTTAGAAAAAACAGACTTAGATTCTGTTTCAGCCTAGCTAAGGCTATGGTAGAAGCTACTACAGTACTTCAGCAGCCTGCCTTAAGTTCCCACATCTACATCATCAATTTAGCTTATAAATAACAATTTGCTTTTTAAAAGAAATACACAAAAAAGTTGGAAGATAACTTTACTAAAATGTCTTACGGCCAAAGTAGAACGCATACCGACTGAGATCTCGACGTCCTTTAAGGCAGCAGAAAAGAGCTCTGCAATGAAATTGGAGTGTTTTTCTGTTCATCTGGAGCAATTTTGGGAGAAAATCAGGCACGTGGTATGGTATGAGACCGAATTCCTCCAATAATGTTTTGCCCAGAGCACCGACGCGTAAAGTATGATTGTGCTTAAAGCGAAAAAATGTTGGACTCTCTGTCTTCCTACCATCTCATTCTGGTATCAAGCTGATTTTCGAGCCACTCTCCGTAATTAGACACCTTGGTATAAACTCCATAGACGCGCCGGCTGCCACATTCCTCAGGGCCTCCCCAGGAGACTAACCCTTGGACAACCCATCTCTTGGTCTCGGTGTCCTCCATCACGAAGGCTCCTCCGCTATCTCCCAGGCACGTATCCTTCCCACCCTCGTAGTAGCCTGCGCAGAACATGTTCTTGGTGATGTTATATTTCCCAGACCTGGATGCGTAGCTCGATTTGCACTCCGTTTCCGGGACCACTGGAAGTTTGACATACTGCAGAACGTTGGACACCATCCCCACGTCAGAGCTCACTGTGTTGTCCATGGACACATTGGGCTTGGAGATGCCCCATCCTGCCACTAGGCCCAGGGTGTTGGGATGGGGGCCCGAGGAATCCTGATTCGCAGGCGGGAGACAGATTGGCATCACTAAAGGATTCATGGTCACCTTCTCTTTGAGTTTGACCAGGGCGATGTCGTTGTTGTAGTTGTGGGGGTCGAAGTCCTCATGGAGGACGATTTTCTCCACACTGCGGTTCACGGCGTCCATCTTGTTGCGGATGTCATGGAGGCCAAGATAGACGACCACGTGGTCCTCGGACACGGGGGTCACGGTGCTGTCCCGACGCTGGGATCGCAGGACGTGCGCGGCCGTCAGGACCCAGTACTCTGAGAGGAGAGCGCCGCTGCCAAACCACTTGTCCTCGGGCACCCGTGACATGTCTTCCACCATGATGAGAGCTTGCCAGGGGAAGAAGCCAGGATCCGCACTTCGCCCGCCAACAATCCTCTTCATCAAGCTGGGTAACGGCTGCAATGGCTCTCCGCACACTGAAAAAAATACGTTGAAAAAATTTCAGGTAAAAAGAGAGCCCTAAAAAACAGGCGAATGTTTGTCTTCTGACATTATATTGGTAGATTATGCCATGTGAGGATTTCTACATTGTATGGAGGTAAATGATTCCCCTGGCAATTAAAGGTTCTGGTTTGTTTTGGCATCAAACCGTTAGAAACGGTCTTCTATTGTATGTATATTTCAAATTGAAATGATTTATGATGTGAGTTTCACAGAAAAGCAGTGCACTTTTTAGACAAATCACCAACATATTCCCAGATTTTAAAGGATTTAAAGGATTTAAGATCACACAATCTTCCCCTATTACCCGTTACATTGTGGCTTAATCTACCAGCAATGATGAGATGAGTGCTTAGGAATATCCCTCATTTCATCATTGCAATAAAAAATAGAAATACCTTCTAAGAAGTTCAAAAATGTTCCTCTTTCTTCTTTTAACATTTAGTCTATTACCCCTTTTGTGCAATCTTGAGAGGTATTTTAGCCTTTAGGTTTCATGCCTTCACTGTCTTCCAATTGCTGTTGAAAGGAACTTAAGAGCTTGTTAAGAAAGGGGGCACTGTAGAATCATTAAATAGGAAAGTTTAACACTGCCTTATGCTCTTTACAACACTGGAATAACTTTATGCTTTACGCTGCTGTGACTTTAAATGGGACAAAAGAAATTAATTGCATTAGTACTGTATATAAGTGCTGCTGAATGAATGTAGCTTTACTGTTTAGAATCAAGGTTTCAGCTGCAGCAATTTTACAACAAACTAAATGAAATGATCAAGTGAAGATAAAGATGTACCATAAATACATGTGAGACTATAATCAGGAATGTACTGGAACCAGGACACAGCCCTGAGGAAGCAGAGAGGAATATGAGGGAATTCTGCACCTCATAGCTGCGAGTCTCCATTTCAGTTGCAATTTTGATTTTTTCAAAAATCACACTTGCATTTGAGAATTAACTATTTAAATTTCTTTTGACATACCACACAAAAATAAAAATTCCATTAAATAAGCAGTTTAGCAAATAATAGCAGGTATGTTGCTTGTTTCTGAAATGCTAAGTGACATTAGTTAAACCACAATCTTACCTGGCATGCAGGAAGGCAGTTTAGTGTCTACTTCCTTATTTATCCATGCTCCTTTCTCCCCACATGTATATGTACCTGAAAGTAAAAAAAGTGTATTAGATGTATAAAACATATTCAATGGAAGGAATATCTGATTCTGAATTGACTGATTATACTGTCCTTTGCTACAGTATGTGTACAATAGTAAATGTACTGGGATCTTTCATGATCATCAGAGATTTGCCCTTTTTTTACTCACTTTCCATTGGTTTCCACCTCTAACAAACACGCTCCTGCGCATAACAGGGATCTTGGCCGCTCAGGCTGAGGCAGGTCTTCTTTAGCTCAGCCAGCAAAACCCCTGTTGAGCTACGCCACAGACCTGGGTTCGCGCTCATGCGGTGGAGGAACAAACTGGGGCGGGGGGCGGCGAGGGCACAAGCCTGAGAACCTGAATCCGTTACGTTGGTGTCAGAGTGGGATGGGATTGCCCTTCGCCGAGGACGGTGAATTTAACGGGGGAGATTGTAACGAAGGAAGGTCAGCTTTAGCTTAGCCAGCCAGACCCCTGTTGACCATTTTCTAGCTGCTTAATGCGGGAAGCAAAAGCCAATCCCAGCTAGCAATGGGCACAAGGTGGGACACACCCTGGAGGCCAGTCCATTGTAGGCCAGACTGATGCAAACACAGACACACACACACTCACTACAGGGCCACTTTTCCCCAAAAGCCAATTAACCTACCAGTGTGTTTTTGGACTCTGGGAGGAAACCGGAGCACCCGGAGGAAACCCACACAGAAACCACTACAGGTCTGAAAGTGATCCTGGGGCCACAGCACTGCGAGCCAGCAACGCTAACCACTGTGCCACAGTCCATATCCTACATTATGTGTCTTCTTCAGTTTACAGCGCTTTAACTGCCAAACTATACCATAAGAACACCATAGTAAAGTTTGGATTTAACCAATATTCTATAATTGGAGAAAAGGTGAGATAGTATTTGTCTGTACTTGACTCACCATTTTCTCTTTTCTCTTCTAATTGTGACCTTAGAAATACTAACACAAATACTTTTCAGTGTATTAAAACAAGTCATCAATCCATTTTCAACCCAGAGCCTATCCTGGCAAGCAACTGAAGGATACACCTTCGACGGACCACTGGTCCATCACAGAGCACACAGACACAAACACAAACACACACTCACATCAGGGCTAATTTTCCCAGAAGCTAATTAACCTCCCCGCATGTCTTTGGACCGAGGGTGGAAACTAGAGCACCCTGAGGAAATACATGAGAATACAGGGAGAACATCTAAAGTCTGCACAGATACAGTAGCACCCCAGGACCAGATTTGAACCCAGGGCCCCAGCACTGTAAAGCAGCAATGTTAACTACTGTGCCACCGTGTCACCCTAACACAAATCATAGTTTATACAATTCAGGAAATTTTACTTTTTACTCTTATTCACAGAAAGAATCTTACCATTGATTTTGGGGTACATCTGATAGCGTGGCTCTTTACAGGAATACTGAATGGTGGAGCCATAGGTGGTAAGGTTTTTGCTGCTGTCATAGATCACATATCCATATTCAATTTCTACTGGAGCCTTGCAATCCACAACTGAAATGTGATAAGAAACAATATCAGAGAAAGAGTCCGTTTCAAAATATATGTCCTCTCCCACATTCCCATACGTGGGCACAAATCTTATGTACTTCATTAAAGGTTAAGTGACTGGCTGAAGAATGAAACTCAGAAATCAAATAAGCTACATATGAACAGTCAGAATGAAAAGGTTATGCAGGGTTAACATTACTATTGTTAAAAACCAGATTTAATTAAATGCAAAAATATGATGAGATTGCTTGAAAAAAACATTAAAGAATGGCACCAAGAGGAATCTAATCATACAACAATCACAGCCAGACTCCTGAATTTTGCATTTTGCAAAGATTTTCGTAGAGCAGCTATTTATGATCTCAGAACATGCTGCTCAGAACACGGGTGATTTGATTTAGGAACAATACATTTTTCTGATTGCTTCCAAAGTGCTCTTTGTACCTTGGAGTCACCTTGGACACTGTAGGATTAATGCAAGTGTTGTTCTGGGGTGTGTAATCCGTGCTGGTCTATCTCTTCAATAATAATGTCTTGATCCCTATAAATCCAAAATTGGCTTTCAGAGCCTGAACAACAACCTCTAGAATCAGAATTGGCTTTCCCCTGGTGAATCAGGTATCACTGAACATATTTAGTACATCATTGCAAAACAAGGCTTTATGGTTTTCAAAGGCTAGCCAAAACCAAGACTGAATGCAAGCCGACCGTTCCCTAAATACTAACTTGTCTTCTGTAAGGGGTGGGCATTATTTACAGAGTACAGGTAATGGGACTCTATTGTCTTATCCAGGCAAGGGTTACGTTGCTTTTTTTTGCCGAGTAGATACAGTATATAAATCATACAGTCAAACCCACTAAATATCATTTTAAAAGAACTGTGCAAGTATTGGCAACATTAAAAAAATTGACTTTATTGCAGTAACATTGCGGAATTCAATTTTCCTGTATGTGACAGATATGAACGAACGCAAGACAACAACTGATGTGACATCAGGAGTTTAATTGATGTTTTTATTCTGTCTGAGACATTTCAGTTTGATATTTGATTACAAAAAGCTGAGGTTTACATTAACGGGAGTGATCTAAAGAGGGATACTAGGTATCTCTATATCAACATCCTGAAAAATTATTTTTGAATAATTTAAGCCTCGAACACATCAAACACAGCCTTCTCTTCTTTTTTCTTTCACAATATACTGTACATATTCAGTCTTAAGTTGTGTTTTTTTAAGAGCAGGAAGCTGTTATGGATTATGGGAACGTGATGATGAATTATCTTTAATTTTTAGGTACACAATGAGCAGAATTAGAAGTCTATTTTTTATGTCTCTGCATTCCATGTTTAAAAGAATGATATTTGATTAATATCCACATTCCCACAATATACTTCTCTATATTAAATATATTCATTAATAATATATATATATGATATATGATATATGATATATGATAATATCCTTGGACAGTGACTGAATATTTCTAATGCCATATGTTGTTTATGAAAATAGAAGTTAAGTGAAAGAAGATAAATCAACAACAGACAATGCCAGCGGGGTGAAGTGACAGTGAGTGACTCAATCAGAACAGGGTTATGCATACCTGTCCCTCCCAGTGTACACACCACGCTGGGTAAGACAGAAGATTTACACTTCACCTTCCTCTCCGTGGCATGCATGCTACTGACGAATCACTAAAAACTTCAAGTGCTGCAGCTACGCAACATCTGTCAGCTTATTAACAGCATCGCTGATTTGATGAAATCATTAATGTGGACTTCTAGAGGGCATTTCAAAATTCTGGCATTTCAGGAGTTAGATTTGACACACCCCTTTAATGATCAAATAGTAATCTTAAGATTTAGAAGGGAAAAATAAAATCCAAGATTACAGTATAGAAGAAAAGCACGAGGTGGAGAAAAGCAAATACTAATTCCAGTTCACATCCTGCAGAAAACACAGACCAAACCTGAGAAAGGTCTGCAGGTGAGAGGGGGCAATTTAGCCTGTTGTACTCATTTAATACATTTCACTCGGTTTAGTAGTTGTGTGAATCTATAATTTTGTCCAGCTGATTTTTAAAGCAGCCCAGAGTTTGGTCCTCAAAATCCTGGCTGAGAAGGCAGTTCCAGACACCCAGTAGTTTTTGAGTGAAGACCAATACTGCAGTTACAAACATATGCATGTCTGACACACAGTTATACTGCATGGGGATCTAGTTATTTTATTTGTTTTCAAGTCTGAATCTGAATTCATTGAATTCACAATAGATTTTCATATTACTTAGGGCAGGTCATTACTTAACATGGGGTGTGACATGCCCTTTCTGGGGGTGTGAGACATGCCAGGTTTGTTTAGAAGGTATATCATTGAAAATATAAATTAACCACAGGCACATACTGTAAGTACAGCTTCTTTGTTTCACCTAATTTTAAGGTAAACGTAAAAAGAGTGTATTTTTTTCATGTATTTTTAAATTTACTGTGAAATTCAAATAAATGATATAATGATATACTGTATCTCAGATTTAAAGAACTGGCCTACTTCAACTAGTGTTGAAAAGAACATGTTATGAGAACCAAAGGGGTGCAGGCTGCAATAAAGGTTAAGACCCACTGACTGAGGGGGAACACTATAGGCCAGAGCTCAGAATAAATAAACTAAGCTAGAAACAAACAACTACATTCTGTCATCTAAAAAAATAATTTAGAACCCATCAAATGAAAGCAGTCAAGAAGACTTCATAAGATTTAATTGGATTCCTCTTTTATGTAGTCAAGATTAAGAGCTCCCATACTTGCTTAGCTGATTAGTTCTCAAAGCAAACCTATAAATTCTATTACTTCATTCTCATTCCTTTCCCCTGTCTAGACCAGTAATTGTTTTGTTAAGATGCATTGAGTAGTGATCTTCGACTCTTCTTTAATTCCTTTTCTGGAAGGCAGCAAAGAGAGGGGGAGAGGGGAGAAAGACAACATAAACTGAAAGATTATAATCTGCAACTGCAACAAAGTGGAGATTAATCATACAGTAAATCCAAAGGGAATGTGCATCAGAGTCAATTGCATTCATTTTATAAATACATCCACTGTAAGTGATACAGTACATAAAATATGTTAAATACAGTACATTAATACTGTGGACTGAAAGTTTTTTTTTAATTTGAATAATGCAGAATTTGCTTTGGTATTTCTTTGCTGTTTTTTCAGTGTGCGTCTGGATGAATTCGATATTTACTTCAATTGTTGTATACTGTCAGAAGCACTATTACTTAAAAATGTGACACTTTGTTTTCTGCCTTGAAAACATGTAACATTCCAAAAAAGGGGAAAAAAACATATATCTCTGAGAAAACATCCATTAACATCTTACTTTTGCAAGAGGGAACACTGCTACTCCAGGAACCATCTTTTAGACACTCCATTTGATAGTGCTCAATTTCTATATCATCCTGAAAAAAAAGATGTAGTACTTCAAAACCACACTTAAACAGGTTTTTGAGTTGCTCTTGTACATAGTTAAGAGAGAATGCTATAATTTGTTCTGCGGAATGTCTTAGCTACTTTTACTGAATTTCTTACCTTTAGCACATTATATCCAGTATCACATGTAACCAGGATCTGATCTTTAAAGGAATACTGGACAAGAACTGGTTCAATCTTCCCATTAGCTGGGGGCTGTGGGTTAGGACACGAATTCCCTTTTGAAAGAAACAGAAGACGCATGTAAATAATCAATTTTCTTGTAACATGCAGTTTGCATTTTCCTTGTTTAAGAGAAAATAATTGGTAATCAGGTTTTTTGTTGAAGTGACTTGCAGGACTGTGACACTAAAGTATTGAGGACAACAACCTTATATTCAGCCTATCAGAAATGGCATGTGCTAATGAAGGTTTTCCTTTATTTAAATGCATAAAGGCTGTTAAGGGATTATCTTTTGTGAAATATTTTCTATTTATATTTATGCTTATCACCTAATATTTATAGCATGCATTTGGGTTTATTATTTCCTTTTATGAACTACAGTACATCTAAACCAACACCGCACTCCTTTCTGGATTGTGCAGGCATCCTCAGGGTGCTGTGTACTTGCACATGCAAGTTGGGTGCATGCACAGCAACTGCTTTCTGGACAGACATCAAACTCTTACCGACAGCAGCGTAAGACAGCCTCCAGCCAATATTCTCTCCTGAGTTGTCACTGTGGAAGAGAATCTGAACGCTGTTGCTTCCTGTCTCAATCCGTCCAGGAGAGCGATCACCACACAGTGGCCCAAATTCTCGTTTTCCAGCCTTGATCTGCAAAACATGCAATTCCATCTTTTACTTTAAAAAAACAACAACTAAAGACTGACTTTTTCCCTTCCGGGACCTAGACATGCCTTTTTTTATTGTGCTAATAGCAGCCTTCCATTCTCAAAATGCAACACACATGCCAATACCATTTGAAAGGTATGCACATGTACAGTATATCTAGCTAAGCCAGTAAATTGAGTACACAGCTGCTACCTGTAATTCACTCTACAGTGCTGAATGTAAGCCCCTTCTTCATCTAAAGTTCCAGGTTCACTGAATGTTAGACATCCAATTCTAAAGCCTCACAAAAGCTCCAGAAGCAAGGATACCTTTTCATCTCGGTGTCATATAGCAGAGTTACTGCTGATTGGGGGAGAAGATTGTCTGTGATATCAGTGCAATCTTGCAGGTGCCCTGCAAGTCACAGGAGTTGCTGTGTTGATGAAAACTGCTAAGACCCTGGTAATCCACTATCTGACTGTCAGCCTTAATTGACAATTGTCTGACGTTGCCTTAGGACATCATCCACTTAGTGACGTGACCCAGGCTTGAAATGTTGACAGCCAGTCCTATGAGCCCAACATGCTCTCAGCAAGAGCTATTGCTGGTCGAGACATTCAGAAACCCTCAGAAAATGGCATTTTTAATGTTGCCCATTATACTGAGTGGGACACAAGTTTGCACTCAGAAAGAAAACACTCAAGTGTTCACTAATTCAATATGGATTATTGAGCTTTTTCCAAATTTCCTCATTGATTGATGGCACAAATCACAATTTTGTGATTGTCTTTTGTGAGATTTAACACAGAATCAACACTAAAACAAGGGATTATGAATGTTCCCGACTGCTCCAACGGTGAATACGTTTGCTAGCTATTTTATTTGACTTTAATCAGAGTGAAAAAATAATTATTTGTTTTAATCTCTAGTGTAAAAGGAAAAATGGCTATTTATAATAAGGAGAGTACTTTGGTGTTTCTATTGATGTGACACATGAGAGACTTTATTTTTGTTTCCTTTGAACTGATCCAAGTTCCACAGTTTTTAGAATACCATGTTTTCTAGATGAAATCTCTTGTATAACGTTAATTACACTAGTTTAGGTTTTTTTCCCCAAACAGTTCCTAAGGTTCTTCTCACACCACATCAAACAGTTTTAAATACAGGCATAGAAAGGGCAATTCTAAAAACAATCCAAGCAGCAGAGTCATGAAATTGTGAACATGTCACCTGTATTTTCCTTTTGATCTTTTGATCTTCCTTAGGGAAAGTTCTCTTTTAACATTTCTGAATATACACTGACTCTAGAGGCATTCATTTTCATACATGAATTAAGGCATTGCTGAAGAGAAACATACAGTATAAGCGCAAGTACAAACACATATTACTTCTTAAGAAGTCAGTCTTTCTTTTTTCAGTTTAGAATTGTTCCTTTCAGTCTCAGCTGACTAAATGTACAACTTCAGCTCAATTTTCACAGCTGAAATGCCTGAATTTTTCACAGTCAATCCACACGTAAGTCATCCCAGAAAAGCAGAATTTGCATTATTAATTGATTTATAATTAGGCTATTGCATATGGAGGTTTCAGTACTGTAAACTGCTCCCTTACAAACAAATGGTTACTATACAGTACACATCACAAATTTAATCAATAGCTTTAGTCAAGTGATTCACAATGCTAGTGCAGTGCCCTTAATCACCAATGCCATCTCACGCCAGTAGACTGATCAGTCTTTTTTCTGCACTCAGTCCTTCATTAAAAAAATTCCCTGGTTAATGTGCATTACTTCCAACAACTTCAGCAAACAGAACTAAGTGAAGACATTATTTTTTAAACCAAGGTCTCAGTAAAAAAAACAAAGCCTAAACAAGCAAGTAGATCAATTACTGGAGGCAATGAGCATTTGGGATTAAGGGCTCACTTGATTAAAACACCAGCAGACACAAGAGTAGTCCAGGACCAGGACTGAGAGCCATTTCCTTAGCCAAAATCCTTTTTTCCTCCATAGAATAGGCATACAGGTTTAAACTTATTCTTTCTTAAATACATGTACTGTCCAAAAGGCTTGTGAAAGTGGTGGTTCAAGATCTCAGTACCATACAACCACATTTCTGATCTGTATTATAACATAAGCATTTCTTTTCTGTCTTACCTTTAAGTAGTCATATGGACACGTGACCTCGGGGTGGTCTTCAATATCAAAGTTGTCATCAAATTCCAGGTTTATAAAAAATCCCTCCTCCAGCTCAATCCGGTACAAGCAGTCAGAGCTTTTAGGGTATGGGTTAGGGAAATCAGAGCTGGTAACAATCCCTGTCCTCTCATTGAACACATTGTCACTGCATTCCACTAGAGAAATAAAAACTTTCAGTGAGACAGCATAGCCTTGTCTTGCAAAACAGAGGATAACATACAGTAATACACTGTGTATGTTAGTATGGTTACAACACTTATAAAAGTTTGCTGAGGTATAGCGAAGAAGTCATGATACAAAGATTATGTAAACTATGAAATTGCAAATCTGCATTGCTGATTTAGATTCGGGGTATAAAAAAAGAAAAAAGAAAAATGAAACGAAATGACTGCTTTTTGACTCACTATGCACACAAAAAAGCAATATGAAAATTTAAGGTCAGCTGGACATGCAGTCAGTACCAAAATAAATTTTATTTAACAATATTTTAGATTTTGATATCAACAATCATTTGGTTTAGTTTTGTTTCAGTCACATAAACATAAATCAAAGGTTTTAGAATCCCACACATTCTGGTTTTCGTTCCATCTGATCTTAATTACTTAATTGAAGCCTTAATTGGATTATGAAGTTGCAAGATTGGAACATTTGCAAGTTATTGTTGACTTCAAAATGTTGGAATATTGCATGTACTGTATGTTATATGGTATTTTATATGTATTTTATGCTACTCATATGGAATAGTTTATAGTAACAATAATTAAAGTGCACCTTCCAACATTTTTAAAAGATGAAAAAAAACAGCAGGTCTGAGTGTCTCCAGGGTCAGGACAGCCCTGACATAACCAATACTGGTTAAACAGGGAACAAATACCGACAGTAAATGGTCGGTTTTAACAACCAGTCATTGGGAGAAGGGAGAAAACGTGGGTACTCTGTGAAACCCCACACAAACATGAAGGGAGCATGCAAACTCCACAAAGACATGCACTCAAAGCTAGAATTGAACCCAGGACTTTGCAGTTTTGATTTCTTGCCAATGTGCCAGTGCAACCAAGACACAGAAGTCAAATCCTACTGTGGGAGGGAGTTTGCTTACAATGTAATCAGACCCCACTGATTTAATGAAATGCCCAGAGGTGTCCAGAATAACCAATGCCTCGGATGACAAGGGAAGATGTGAAGATGGGCTGATTAGCACTGGAGTTTCTGGATTGAGGATTGGAGATCCTAGATTAACTAACACTAGCAATTCTGGATGGAGGATTGGAGATTCTGGATAGAGACTTGGCGATTCTGGATTGGCTAGCACTAGAGAGTGTGGATTGAGGATTTCACAATTTGGGGTTGACAAAGACTGGAGAGTCTGGATTGACCAGCACTGGAGAGTCTGGATTGAGAGCTCTAAACTGACTAGTGCTGGAGATCACATTGTTTTACATTTTGTATTTCTGCAATTCCTGCTCTTGTTAACACGTGATTCTGTTTAGTTCCTTGTTTTATTTTTGTTGTTGGAGTACCACCCAGTATTTGGTCAAGAGAACACATGCAAACCCTTGAGCTGGCAGAAAACCCTGCAGATGCTGCACAATCTGCTAAAGAAAACAAGCTTGTGTGGTTGTGTGCATATTCAAATTTAAGTCATGGTAACAAAAATCTTTATGAGTTCTTCTTTTCATTATCAGTAAAACCAACTAGTTACTAGTTGGGTTCTTTGTTCAGTAATGCAGAACAGACAGTGTCACTGGTGTTTTTTTCCTATATCTTATGAAGCAAACTCCAATGTCTTTTGCTATACTGGAATTAATTAACCTAAATTGCATTAAAAGACGGCAATTAAAAGTTATGAAAGGACGAATGATGAACTAAAAAAAATCAAAACCAGGTGATAGCTGGGATTTGTTATATTTTTACTTGACATTTTGAATAAAATGACATAAAGAGGGACAGAGTGGCAATGAAAGGACAGAGAAGGATGATGAAATAATTAAAAAACCACACTAACAAAGACCAGACCATTTTTTTTTATAAAACTTTGTTCATCACCAAATAACCTGGCCTTCAGCACCAGATTCGCATAAAGAATTTAGGGAAATAGTAATTCCAATTATGAACAAAGATCAAACACAACTGTCCTTTATATCATTGGAAAAAAAGAAAATGTACTTCTGTGCTTTGTCGCAGCAAATTCTGTTTTGAGTTTATGATCAGTGAGACCAGATGGTGTCTGGGCAGTGTCAGTCCCAACTAGTTATAACAGCTGTCTCCAACCCTGGTCCTGGAAAGTCCCAACTCACTTAGTCTGTTTTTACTTACAACACCTGTAAACTATTAATGAATCAAGTAAGAAATATCTTCAGTTAACAGAACCCTAGTTCTTGAGGGCTGAAGACAACCCTACATCAGGGTTGTCGGATTTCCTTTTTGGAGGGTCTTGTGTCTTTTGGATTTTGGTCCAAACTGAGTAGTCAATTAAACAATTAAAATAATGAATTAATTAAACTGACATATAAATGCCTTTTCGTGCTCAGTATTGAAAGATAACCCATGTCAGAAAAGGTACAGTTACCTATAAAACAACTACAAGCTTGATAAGAAGTATTAACAATTAAGGTTAATTAATGAAACCAGCTGTGCAACTGAGAGTTTGGGTGGCACAAATACCAGAAGATATCATTGCCCTCCAGGATTTAAGGATGACATCCATGACTTTGATTTTAGTCATAAATGATTTCTCAATGACTTAATTTAACAAAGACAGCTTAGCTGATTTGGAATTATTGTGACGTAGTGGTAACCTATAAAACCTGCTGGATTGGGTTATGCATGTCTCATCAAAACCTGCTCATTCAGAAGAGCGGAAGAGAAGGAGCAGGCAGCAGTATCCCATCTATAGGGCAGCTGTGATATTAACACAACAGTAAGTTTGTTTTTTTCTTACGAGCATCAATATGTTTATCATGAACCGCCAATTCTGAATTAATTTTGAAAAACACATCCAGTACCCTTTTAAGAGAGACTGAGACAAATGGGCATGTTCCTGCAATGTACCCACCTCCAGAGACCCTGTTTGAAAGACTGCATGATCGCCAGAACCTCACAGGAGAGGCAGCACTGACTGGAAGTGTCGTGCTTCTTTTAGGCATTACTGCAAACCTTCAGGAACCCAGCAAGTCTCCAGAGGTGCTTTAGCAGGGAAGACAAATGACTAATCCAATTTTTGCTCCTGGAGCAGTCAGCCAACTAAACTAAATTTTCATGAAGGGTCTCCAGTAAGTTACTGGATCATTTTTTTGTAGTTTGTAGCGACCAAATGAGAATATAGATGCCTAACATTTTTTGCTTTATTTTCTAAGGAATGAAAACAAATTTGAAGTATTTTAAAAATGTAAAATAATAATAATAATAAACTTTATTTTATATAGCACCTTTAAAGTTGGTTTCTCAAAGCCCTTTACAGAATGACAACAACAATAAATAAAAAGAATACACAAGATAAAACAGAATTACAATATATAGAGGAGACCGTGGATGGTGGTACTAAGAAAAGCAGAGGGGTGAAGAATGGAACCAGTTAAGTAAAGGCTTTTCTAAAGAAGAAGGTTTTGGGTCTGGATTTTAAGGAAGAATAATAATTATTATCACAATCAGATGTTATTGGAAGTTACTTTGGAAGAAAACATCAGCCAAATGAATAAATCATTATTATTGTTTAATGTAGATGTCTTATTCTTCTCAGATCAAATATTAGTAGCAAATATCAAATTTATTTTGAGTAAAATACAGTAAAGATAGTTAGGTTTTTTGTTTGTTTGAGCAGAATAAACTGCTCTGCCATTTATTTTTCAGTCTTGCCTCCTGAACTCAGGAAAAAAAGTCATTTTTAATTTTTATTCATCCATCTGCTACTTAACTGCTTTTGATTTCAACATATTGTCTACAGTAAGTGGGGTAAATAGGGGGTTCCCACTTATGTCATATGGTGAGGTTTTGTGCTTGTGAAAACACCACCCTGTTTATTTTATACTGTTTGTATATCAGATACTGTAACTATTTTTAATCTGCTGCACATGTGGGACCACATCATAAGTACACATGTACTGTATCTAAGAAGTTAAATCAAAGAAGGTTCTTTGACCCATCATCACTATTTGCTTACTAGTAGCTCATTGATCCTAGGATCCCATCCAGCCATTCATTACTTGAAGGGATTCAGGGGGAATCAATTTCAACAGGATTGATAGCTCAGAATACTCTTTATCCACCTTTGATTTGTGGTATCAACCTACTTTACACAGAAGGTTACAAGTATCTGGAATCAGGTTTCCCAGTCAGGTGTAATGAGTCCTAAACTCTGGGCTGGAAACAATTTCAGATTTGCTTAGCTACTAAACTACCAAAAAAGCAAGACGTTCCAAATCTCTTCCTCTCTTTTACTAAATTATATTATACATAATATAGGTTGCAGTGTTAGTGTGCATGTTCTTCATTCTCAAAGTATTGAATTATTGCCAACTGTAGGATCTACAGTATGTGACACTGTTTTGCAGTTTCTGAGTGGACTGTCATTCCTCGAGTTCTGGTCAGACCCTGGGATAATTCCCTCCACAGCAAGGCTTGGAAAAGTTTTAAATTTCAAGGAGACTGATTCAAAACTATACTTTCAGTTGGTTTCCAAGTTCCCTCCAAGATGGTAAATTCCACATTTTCCAGGCTTCCTGTTGAGGGAATTATTCCATTTCTCTGTGGGTGTTGAATCATAAGCTGCCTTCAGTACAGCCCAAAGTCAAAAGCAATTTTTCTTTAGAAAGTGCCTCTGAATAGACTACATGTCTTTATTTAATCAACACTGGCACAATGGAGCTCATACTGGAAATTACTTGGGGTCTAAAATGCCTCACATTATGAAAAACATACAAAAAACAAGTTGCTGGCAATTGGCCCTATAGAAATTTTGAATGGAACTGTTGGCATTACTGGAAACTAGAAAATAACACAGAACTTCATACCTAAAAATCGTAATGTGATTGTAAATGGTTTGTAGTTTGACCATACATAATCACCACTTTTCAAAGCTTTCCTTCTTAGAGGATTTTCCTACACATGGCCTATGCAATAAATAGATGTTTAAATGCATGCAATGATTAGGAAAGAAGGCTGGCAAATACAACTGCTAGGGAGAAAGCTGGACATATAATTAGGTAATTTGTGCTTGGACTTTTACCTCTGAAACTGTGAATCATGCTGTTGTTCAGGGATAAGAGAATTACTGTAACACACTGGTTTAGGGCACCATGGAATATTATATCACACAAAATGTAGATGTCTCCTGAATTAGAGTTGAAGGGATTTGAGAAATGGTCATCAAACTGGAAATATTTAATAATTTTTTTGCATTACCTCTACAGGTCCTGTTGTCTGAATGCAGAATGTAACCAAACCTACAAGAGCAATAGTATCCACCAATGTAGTTATGGCAGTAGTGGTCACAAACCAGTTCTTCATCATTTCTGTCTTTACATTCATCCACATCTACAAGAAAGAAATCAAAGGTGTGAAAGGAGGACAGCTCAGTGTTCACATACTATGAAACTCAAAAGATTATTCACACTGGCAATGTACAAAGGTGTATCAAGCTTTTACCGAGCTTATCAGCTTTTACTTAGCGTGATGCCTCTTCATAGTGAGCCCCATTTGAAATTAAAGTGTCATACTGTAAGACACTTTCAAAAGAGGAAACGTAGAACAAAAAAATATCTTCAGAAAAAAATAGACTCTAATTTAGTAATAGTTCTCAATGCAAACTATACAGATGTACAAGAAATGTACTCTTAGGTCTGCTTGTTTTAATCAAACTTTTTAAACATAGATATATATATATTTTTAAATCAAACATTTATAATACATTTTCAGTAACAGGATGCACATTTCAAAATGAAAACACTGAAAAGTCAGTGCTGGGTATACACTTCCTGAGCACTAAGACAATTTTGGCAGTATTGACATTGCCTACTCGGCTGTGGGATGTTCTGCCACTCTTCCGGTACAGCTGCAGGCAGCTGGAGAAGGCTGACTGGTCACAGCTGTCTCCTGTTGATGGGACTGATGACTTGGTCCTGCAGATGTTTGGTTGAGACTCAGATCAGGACCAAACCTGGCCATGCCAAGACCTCAGCAATGTTTTCCCCATCTTGTAATGCCTGCACTGGTCTTGTGTTGACCTCATGGAAAACATACTTCCAGATGGGAAGACAGGAATGGAAAAACTTTGAGGTTGCCCTCAAACTGCACCAAAGATGTTTTAGTGTTGAAGAAGGTTCCACCCTATCCTGTTGGCTCGAACAGGATACTATTACATTGTGTACTATGATGTCTTCACACATATTGTGTCTTCTATCAGCTCTGTCAAGGTCAAAACTGCATTAAATACTAAATAAAACATTCACCTTTCTCTCAGACATTCTTGCCCAGTCCACAGAGGAAAGCAATACTTTCTCTCATCAGTCAGTGTTAATCCTGAATGGCCCCAAATGATCATGTTCCTGCCGACTGGAACCTACAGTGATTCTGCTGATGCTCAGGTTATTTCCCCCTGTGCTGTAGCCACAGCGTTGCAGTGGATTATGATTTATGAGATGGATAAGACATATGAGACAGTCCTGGGCTACAGTGGAAACCCTTTGAAAATCCTTTGATTGTCAGAGACAAGCCTTCACTCACGCAACCAGGGCCTGGCATATCCTTTCCGTTTCTTGATTTAGTTCAAAACCTGTTTTAAATGGATTTTCACACAGACTCTTATTCCACTTTTACTTGTCAATTTTAATTCAAGTCAAATACCAAGCGATGAGGAATTTATTAAATGACTTGAACTCAGTATTTTGCTATCTCCACAGAACAATTGTACGGCTTGCTATTTAAAATTAAATAACCGTACTACACATTCTCAAACAATTGGTTATTAAAAGCAAATGAGCAATTTGGACCGAATGACCTCCTGTCATTTGTACCAACCCTTCTTCTTCTTGTGTTTTTAATTCAGGAAATTCAGAAGTAGAAAATGAAAACATGTAGAAATTGATGCTGTGTTTTTGAGGGGCTAATATGAATTTGGAGTGCTTGTTTCAGTTGTAGTAGCGGTGCAAAGATCTTACCAACTGCAGTGTAATGGGCCTCGAATCCAGTGAACCGCTCTTCGTTGGAGAAGTCAGACCTGAAGGTGACACTAAGTTTGTTTCTGTGAGACATGATAATCTGCTCCCTGGGCGTCTGTTCTGTATCTGTGTCCTCCCGGCCGCAGAATGTAGCCTGTAACCCCTGGTCTGCCTCAATCTGAAAGAGATGGAAGACAAGAAAGGTCAGATGGCCAATTATCACACATGATAATTAAAATTATTACTTACATTCTATTTTTGTTAAACATGTATTTTCATTTCTGTCTTGCATGTTTCTAATTGGAATTGACCATTTTTATCTTATTACAGAACTGGAGTACATGGAGATAAGGGTATCACACAGTGATTCTACATGCACGCAGGAGAGAATGAGGCACACAAACATGCTCCTCTGACATGCCCACTTGCACTTATGGGTATTTGACGCCCTGCAGGCTCCAGAATGCATTACAGGAGACTAACCCATCTCTTACTGATCTCTCACTGCTGAGTGCTAAGAGGACTTTGGCTAACTACTCAAACCCCTGCCCTGGTAATGGCTGGTTTGTGTGCTGATGCATGGGTGTTCCTGGACAAGCTGACCCAGGCTCTATCTAGAGACATTTGTTATTGACAAGAACATAACAAAAAAAAGGTTTAAAACAAACATGTCTTGCTTTTGTATTACTTAAGTAAATACACAAATCTAATCTTTTAAACACCAGATCTTGAAAAAGCTCAGAGTTTGGGTTTCAACCACCTGACTGGGAAGTCTGTTCCAGAGATGTTCTACCCCTTGGAGACAGAACTGTTTCCTTTGTCCTAAATTAATTCCCCTTAAGTCACCAATAGTGGCTTCATGTCCTTGTTTCACTGCTGAGATTTCTCTTATACTCCTGAGATTTTCTATACTTAACTAAAATTTAAGTTTAATTTTTTTTAAGTGCCTGACAAGCCACAGAGGTTGCTGTTGCACAGCAAAATGAGGATACACTATCTAACCCAAGCCCACCCAAACCTGGTAGTTCTCAGCTGTGAACTGAATTAGTCAATCAGAGATATCCAGTTAATGGTGTAGCCAAGTTTGAATCAGTGTTGTTTGCCTGCTCCCCACAGTAATATCTGTACCTGTTAAGCTCTTGGGTGAGCTTAGAGTATAATTGTTAATGATTTACACATGTGGTAATATGGTGTGCTTGCTCCCACTATGATATTGGAAAGTGTTGCAAAAGACAGGGACATTTGCTTATTTCTAAATCATTCCACTCTGACGGAAGGCATTTTCAAAGGTCTGTGGTCTAGAGCAGACTTTGCTCCTGATTTGCTTGAAGATAATATAAAGTTATGGAAATTACAACAAAGCAATAGGTGGGGAATGTAGAATACACATTTATATTTCAGATAAACACATTTTCATTTTGATGCATTTTATTCTGAGACGTAAAAAGTGAAAAAAATTTTGCACATTGAAAAAATGTTTTTAAAGTTGCCGTTCTAGTCCCAGATTGTCAAAAAGCAAATGAGAGCAAAGAAACTGCAGACAGATGAGGAAATTAAATATAGGAAATTATATTTACATTACTTCTGACGTCAAGGCGATCCACAGAAGTGACACACTCATACTTCAATCTCATCTAATCCTACATACAATGCAATTCAAATAGCAAATATTGCTGGCCCATTTTGTTCAATTACAATTTATGTACAGTATACACATTTAAGTGAATATTTTTTATTAAAACCTGAATCATCAAAATGAACACTTTTCTGGGCGAAATAAGCAAAACTGCCAAGACAAATATGTTGAATGTATAAATACTCAACTCTGTAATTCAGTAAATGGTGGAAGCACTTTTGACAACGATTACAGTCTAGATACTTTTTGGATAAGTCTCTACCAACTTTGCCCCCTATAATGATGCAAATTATGCCCATTCATCATCGCAAACCTGATCCAGCAAAGTTAAATAGGTTGGAGATCACTGATAGTAATTTTCAAGTCCTGAAACAGATAGGTTTCAAGTCAAGACTTCAACTTGACCACATAAGAATATCAGGTTTCTTTTAGTACATTAGTACAGCATTCTAGTGTAGCTTCATCAGTTTTAGATCTTTAGCAGTCTGAAGCATGCTTTCTTCTAAGATTTGCATCTACTTTGCTTTGCTATTTTTGCCTTCATATTGATAATCTAGTCTCTGCTGATGAGAAGCAGAACTATAATGCAATGCTGCCACCACTGTGCCCGACAGCAGGGATGGTACTGACACAGTGAGGAGGTGTGTTGTTGGGTTTATGACAGATGAACACTTGGCATTTAGTTTACAAGGATAGAATTTTGTCTTGTCTGACCGCAGAACTTTTTGCCACATTTTTGCAGTTTCACTTAAATGTTTTCTTGCAAACTCCAACTCCATAAACTTGAGATGGGTGTTCCAGTCTCCCATATAGACCAGTTTTGACTCGTGGACACTCCTTCAAACATTGAAATCTGTGGCTCCTTCAATCCTACTTTTTATCTCATGGTGGCCAGTTTTCTTCTCGTCTGGCTGTACAGTTAGGAGGAACAGCCTGATCTATGCAATGTCTGTTCCTCTTCTTTATAGTTGACGTCACCAGGGTCAAAGGACTATCCTATCCAACTATCCAATGTCTTTTAACATTTTTATGTAACCTTCTCCATGTAAGTGCTTTCTACAACCATATCCCTGAGGTGTTTGGTGAGCACCTTGGTTTTCAGAAAATAATGTAACCTTACAGAGACAGATGTATTTATTCTTAAACCATGTGAACCAGCATTCTTGCAAACAGAGGGCCAATCAACTACTAGTATGACTTGTCAAAGACGTTTTGTGCACTGGACAGAATTTAGATTTGTTACTGTTTATCAAAGGGGTGAATACCCCCTTATGCAACTAGAATATTTTAGTTTTAGAATCTTCCTTGTAATTGTAGCTGACGTTTAATGCTTTTCACCCATAAAAACATTCAGTCTGAGCTAGTTGATTAAAAATATTAACTTTAATGTCATTTTAAATTCAGCAAAAGGGGATATCATTGGAAGCAAGTGAATACCTTTGAAAACCTTTGAGCTTCTCGTGCTAAGGTCACTTTTTTATCATATCCAGTAGAACTGAAGGCCTTCAGCATACAAACAAATCCTTGAAGTGATAAGTACAGACATTCCTGAAACGAGAGCCATTCTCATCTGCTGCAGGACTCCAAATACCCTGAGGGATGGCATCTTTTATACGGCTTCTCAATTTCGAATTAGCTACAGAAAAGTTTAAACAACAACAAAAAGTCAGTTTGACTAGCCTGCTGGCAGGCTGATGGCTTTAAAATGTACGCTCCCATTCATTTTTTAATCATGCGCCTGGGTGGGCTTTACAGTTAAGCAATTCTCCTGCTCCACCACTGACAAACTGCAGAAAAAAAATTACAGGGAAACCACTGTTTCATTGGTAACTTACAAAACATTCTGAGACTGATCTGTGGCCATTAAATGTGCTGTGTTTCAAGCAATATGCTTTGGCTTTCCCCAGCAGTAAGGCTCTCAAAGAGGATTAATTCACTTTTAATACAGCTGAACTCTAAAAAAACTGACTGAAGTGCTGTTTGATTTCACACATGCACTGCAGATGACTATTTTATCTTGTTCCCAAGCTGCGTGTTTACACAGTAGATGTCACTAACCCCCTGGGCATGTTTAGCACAGTCTGATGGCGATATGCAATTGCGAAGAAGCTCTGATGCAATGTATTTTTTAATGTTTTTTGAAACAACAAACATTCCACATAACACAAAAAACTCATTCCAAGTAAACACAAAGCAAAAAGATAAAAAGAGAAGTGCCAGAGCTTCCGACGAAGAGTAGCACATGCTTTTAATTGTATTATTATATTTAATTATTTACATAACCCAGTAAGGATATGTGAAAGCATTCTAAATCAATTCTTCATGGCCAAGGAATTCATAAAATGAAAAGACTGAGATTTAAATGTCAGTAATGTGAACCAGGTCTAGTGCATACAGTATGTGTGCAGGATAAGTTAAACAGCTCAATCACTGCTAAACATGGTTTAAAAGGATGATTAGAAACTGACTCCATCCTTCCACTTACAATATTATACTGTATATTACAACATAAGAATATATATTAATCCACCTATACTCTGCATGAGCCTGTGACTAAATGTGAATCTCCTGCTTATAGTTTTCACACCTTGAAATGTCATCTCATAGTGTTTGCCCATGAGAACAACAGTAATAGAACAAACTGCTTTTTTAATCTAAGAGGAAATTTAGACAATTGCTATAAAATAAATGAAAAGATTATGGGCATTGAGTAGGATTTAATTGTAAGTTAAAAAGAAAAATAAACATTGTTAATGGTGTTATAAAACTGATTTGAACAAAAACAAATGCAAGGCAACATGTGAAAGTGATCTAGCATACATTCCTATATAATCTTATTGAATAACATCTGGTGGTTCTGTGAAATTACATGAAAAGCAATGCAAAAAGTTTTTGTTTAATTCAGGTTCATTGAGGTGCTTGCAAGAGCTACTTAGAACAATGGTTATCTGTCTCAGACAGTGTTGTCTGTTGTGAAAAGAGCAGACTATTGTGTGCTGTATCTGAATACTCTGCCTGCCATTTGGTGCCTGAATGTCAGATGGTTAAATTCAATTCCTCAGCCTGGGTGTCAAGGAGATCGAACAGGCTCCAGCTTTGTTAATTACTTACTGATTCTGCATATCATTTTCTTACGTCACTGCTTAAACGGACTAACTTAATGTTTTAAAAAATAAAATAAAAAAACATATACAGTAGGTATTCATTTTTAGATGACATCTCCATATAAATCTATGAAATTATTAGATGTGTCATAATGAAGGGCAGGCAAAGTACTTCACAAAAGCCAGAATGATCTCTTTGTACCTGACACTTTAAAATATTATCCAAAGATGCATGTACATGCTTATTATCGACCATCATACATACTAATGCAATTGTATTAGGACTCTTACAAAATTAAAGACCTAAATCACAACCTTCATCACTTAATTATTATGTCACTGTGTATTATTTCATTGTTGCTCACGGGAATGAGCTATTCTGTCTTGTAAAATGAGCAAGGATGGTAGTAACTAGTCTACAACACATAACAGAGCTGA